GGCGCTCTATTGAATGCATGTACCTCACCCAGTGTCTAACCATCCCGTGCTTCCGTTGCGCTTGTCCCGTTTGCAGAGTGCGCGAAGGACTGCGAGTTCTTCTAGAAGTTTGTGCGCATCAATGGGGCGCGGCACAAAATCGACCTGGCCCGCATCATCAACGCGGACCAAACTCCAACTATTCGTGGAGATGCCAGCCGAACGGACGATCAAGCACCGTGGCGCGCGCTCGGTCCTAATCCGCACTGCAGGCTACCAGAAGACGCGTTTGACGGTGATGCTCGCGTGCACTGCATCCGGGGAGAAGCTGCGGCCGTGGGTGTGGTTCAAGATGAAGAACGTCCCCAACTGTGAGATTCCGGAAGGTAAGCGAGCGTGAATTCAACCGTGCGACTGCCTGATGAGCGTGCCCCACTGTGCTGATGCCCGTCTGTCCCTTGTGTGCCTGGCAGGAAACGTGGTCCAAGCACAGGACAACGGGTGGATGGACGACACCGCTGTGCAGACCTGGCTGTCCAAGGAGGTGCTGCCCCATCTGAACCCCCAGCGCGGCCAGAACGCAAGGCGGGCGATGCTGGTGTTGGACTCCTACCGCGGTCACATCACCCAGACCATGCTTCAGTCGTACCGCACGCACAGCATCACCCCTGCAGTCATCCCAGCGGGTTGTACGAGCCAGATTCAACCCCTGGACGTCTCCATCAACCGGTGCTTCAAGGCTGCTGTGCGAGCGCGCTACGCCAGGTGGTTCATGCGTGAAGGGATTCACCTGAAGACGAAGAAGGGTGAGTTGGTCCTTCATTTACGGTTTTATTCATGTTCCGTTTCATGTCCTTGTCTTAAACATGCTCCTTCATATCCGTGTCTCTTACATCTCGCTGCCCCGTCCTCTGTCCCACCCGCAGGGAACCTGCGGAGGCCTCCGCACCCCGTGGTGCTGCAGTGGATCGCGGAGGCTTGGGATCAAGTCCCCAAGCAGATCATCGACGCGTTCCGCCACTGTGGGATCTCGAGCAAGCTGGACGGAACAGAGAACCACCTGGTGATGTCTCACCTGCGCACCAGGAGCACCACCGATGTCTCCGCGGACATGTCTCTCGGGGGGACCACAGGCGACAACACGCGCCTGCTCGGTCGGGCTCCAGAGGAGGAGGAGGCGATGCAGGCGGAGGGCGTGCGGGAGGTGGCCGTGGCAACCGGCCTGGAGGTGCTGTACCAGGAGACCCCCAACTACCGCGGAGCGGCGGCCGAGGCTGACCGCATGATCGAGCCTAGGGAGACGGCTAGGCATGCGTGGCGACTGCCAGACCTGGGTGTAGAGCCTGATGTTAGTGCAGGTGAGGAGGCGGTGACTGAGGGGGGTTAGGTAGAAGTAGAGATTCATGACTGTATGCATGTACCCCCCTAAAGTAGGAAAGCTAGCTAAGAAGACACCCCCTGTTTATAAGAAAACCCCTAAACCCTGGTTCTGATTATAAGACGTATATGTCTTAATTCGTACACACAAATAGGTGTCGTATAAAAAGGCTAGCTTGTTTATAAGAGACACCCGTATAGTAGACAACCCCTGTCTACTATTCAACACTGTCTTATATCCGGACGATGACGGTTATTATTTCTCCAAAGGTATTACGTAGATGCAAGTTGGATAAATGAAGAGGGATGCAAAACTTCAAGGGTGATGCCGAATGTACACAAAAAGCGCCTATATACTCATACAACAAACTCCCAATGGAAGGGGATGCCATGCCACCTTTCCCCGTACACACAAAACCCTTTGAACACAGATCTAGTTTAGCGCCTTACACATACTCTATGTACATATAAGTTCGAATTAAGTTTTACTGCACTGTCACTTCCGCGACTGGAAGCTGATAGCGAGCGTCATTCATTACAATGACATCCCCGCTCTCCCTCACCACCGCCTTCTTTTCCACAAGCAGCAGAAACGTGATTAGTTTCGTGCCGCCATACCCACTGCGACTAACACCATCCCTTGACTGAGAGTAACTTGCTGCAGTTGCCATATCCTTTGTGAACCAGTCTCCCAGTGGACTGCTAGAGCGGCGATTGGGGCACATTCCGTTCCGTAGGATAGGGTCGAAGCTGCTAGACCGAGTGCCATGAAACGCGAGCTCCAAATTTCCTTTCTCCGCGCTGTCCATGTATGTCAGACCTTTGACTTCGGGGTTTGGAGAGTGCAGAAGAAAGGCAAGCATGTTTGGGAAAGTTTTGTCTCGCGAAGAGACACACCACGCGAAGATGCGTTTGTTTCTAAACAGCACGACTCAGCACCTTGCCTCTCACCGATGATACTAGGAGTTTTAGAGAGGCAATTTCTGTATGAAAGAAAGGGAGTTACCTAGTGCAGCATCAGCCGGTAGGTTCTGCGCAGTCGCGAGGAACCGCGTGAGCATTGCGGAGCCAGGTGTAAGGTAGGGGTTCTTACGAACTTCCACCACCGAGCTGCACCGCTGACCCACCACGTGCCGAACGTACGCCTCCGTGGTGAACGCATCAATAATGCGACTCCAGACCTGCCATGACGCACCAGATTGAATCAGTGACGCTGTGTATCGAAAAGCCAGGACTGAAATGGAGTGCTAGTAGTGATAGACGAAACATTTGCCTTGGCTACACCACTCGGACCGAATGGACTGCGAAGGAGCAGGAGATGCCAGGAGACAACAGACAGCTTACCACGGACGGGGTCCTCAATGCGTCGCTTAGGTTCTTGAGCGACAGCTTTGGAATAACCAGAACTGGCCTTCCCTGATCGGCTGTGGGGTTCCGTTGCTCCATAGTCTGCAGATTCAGCGTGTAAGATTGACCGTTAGGGTAGACTTTCGACGTGAAAACACCCAGGTTCACTTCTTGGAGGCCCAGAGAGGCCGCCTTGAGGATTGCGCGGGACGTGGCGCGATCGTAGGGCCGCCATTGGTCGTCGTCGCGCCAGTAGATGCCGGGAACGTCGGGCTCCGAGCAGGGGAGGAAGTTGATGCACATGGTGTCGGTTCCAATTCACCGTTGAGATAAGAATGATGTGATTTTCACTATTCTTCCGCTACTCACGGTGCTCGCGCTGCTACTTTCGGCAAATTCGTCCGAAGGGAAGGAGAGAGCCTGAGGGTGAAGGCGCATTGTGTCAACGATAGGCGGCATCGCGGAATTTATGGTCGCGATGTGGAGTCGCTGCGCCTGGGCGACACATTCTAACTGGCAGTTACCCCAGACTCCAACCCTGTTCAGTTTACCTGTATAATCTCAAGTATCGTTAGTAATTTTCTAACTATCACGCATACCCATTTTTTTTCTCCCCAATCACGTCGCGAGCGACTTTAGAGTGTTATCTAATAATCTAGCTGTCATTTTGTCAACGCTGACAACCCAGAAAGAGTAGGGTAGTATTGAGTTTGACCCCATCCCCTTCCTCCACCCCCTCTGCCTCGATACTCCAAATTCGCTTACCTCGGGAACTCCATTTTTGCATCCAGCCCCCCTCGGGAATTCCCTTTTGCCTTGAAGACACCTGTTCAGCTTACCTCGGGAGCTTTTGATTCACGCCGTGAAGCTCATCGCTTCTACATCGGAACTCCCAACTCTTTCTAGCCTATCTCGTTGGCGTGGGAGGCGACCCAGAGGCTATGCTGCTGCTCCAATCGCAGACGTTACCAGTACGGCCAAGGCTTCCTGATAGCTGGATCGCGACTTGGACCGCCAGCCATTCGTTCGAGGTGCAAGGCAGGTATTGAAACGGGTGGTGTGAGAACACGACAGCGTATGGCGTGGGAACTGGCGTAGCAGGGCGAGTACAGTCCAGAGCCTGCATCTGTTCTGGTCCCGAGAACTTTCTTCACATCTTTATTGACAGTCTCGCTCTAAGCGCGAAGACCAGCAGCGCAGGAGTATGAACAAATAATATGCGGCTTTACTTCGTTTTAGGTTGCTGGAGGAGTGGCACCATGCATCCCACCTCACATTCTGCAGAGTTCTGTGTTTTTGGAAACCAGCCGGACATCAGACAGTCAGACCAATCCAATCAAGTAGGCTACTGAACGCTCTCATTCAGCAACTCCAGACATCAAATACAAACCCAAACCGCAAAACAAACCAGGCCTATACCACCGAGGCGAGCCTAATCCTTGGTGCAGAATATTTACAAGAAAGCACACCAATGTGCTGCGGAAACAGGGTAGTACCATTCAGGGGTGGCAGCACCCAAATCTACCAGCAGCAGGAGCAGCAGGGGAGAAACACACAGCCTGGAATACCAGGGAGACTGCTGAGATAGACCTTCAATCACTATTGAAGCAGCAAAAAGTGGTTGGGCCTCTGCAGGAGGCCCCAGGGAGCATTGTCTTGTCAACCACACTCAGCTTAATCAGCAGCAGATGGAGCAGCCACCACTTTTTGGACCAGAGGGGTTGAGAGCAGTATCAGGCTGTTTCTGTGTCGATCTCCTGAGGATTCAACACTTGATTCGGGCCGGCTGGAGGCCCCAGGGAGCATCGGTCCGTGCTGTGTGTCTCCAGTGCCTCCTTTATTTTAGCAATCTGATGTGAATGGTGGAGAGTGGATAGGGTGGGGAGAGACAAGAGAAACAACACTTGGTGCGGGTTGGCTGGAGGTCGCAGGGAGCATCTTTCCGTGCCGTGTGTCTACAGCGCCTCTTTTATTTTCGCAATCTGATGTGAACAGAGGATAGTGGACAGAGCCGGGTAGGAGGAAAGGGTGGGGTGGGAGAGGGGACGGGAGGGGAAGGAAGTCGATGGGCAACAACACAGTGTGGTTGACTCCCCTGTTTCCTTGATTTTAGCAATCTGAAGTAAATGATGTATAGTGGACGATAGTGTATGCGACTGGCAGAGCTGGTTGTTCGAGTCGAGTGAGGCGACTTTTGACATGACTCAAAAGTCACCTCGATAGTGTATGCGACTGGCAGAGCTGGTTGTTCGAGTCGAGTGAGGTGACTTATGCGTTCACCTCGGTTTGTAATGGGCTTAGAGGATGCTCCCAGCACGAGGTACCGAAGTGAGGGTGACAGGGCACGACGTACCGGCGTCCAGCAGGCCGTCAGCGCTCTGGAAGTGGAAAAAAGGTAACCGCTTGATGCCGACCCAAGCTAGCTTCAGAGCTGCTCGTTCAAGTCGTAGTGAGGTGACTTGTGTGTTCACCTCGCTCTTGTGTTCACCTCGCTCTTGAGTGGAATCTAAGGGAGCACTCGACATGACATACCGAAGTAAGGGTGGCGGGGAAAGCGTCTAGCAGCCCGTCAGCGCCCCGATAGAAGTGGAAGAAAGGCAGCCGCTTGATTCCGAGCGACCGGCACAGCTGCTTGTTGGGGTCGAACTCGACCTGCAGGAAGATGACGTCCGGATGCCTCGACGCTAGCATGCAGAGCTGAGAGGTGAGAAGTGGGGGGAGGGGGTAAAACGGAGGGAGAGAGGAGGGAAGAGTAAGAAACCGGCAGAGGTGCTTGTTGGGGTCGAACTCGACCTGCAGAGAGATGACGTCCGGATGCTTCGACGCCAGCATACAGAGCTGAAAGGGGGAGGGGAGAAAGGAGACGTGTAGGGAGAAGTGGGCAGGTGGGTTGCGGAGAAGAGGGGGACGGGAAAGAGTTGCTTGTTGCGGCCAAACTCGACTTGGAGGAAGATGACGTCAGGGTTCTTAAAAGCCAACATGCACAGCTGTGAAGGGAAGGAGGGGGAGGAGGGTGAGGAGGGTGAGGAGGGGGAGGAGGGGGAGGAGGGTGAGGAGGGGGAGGAGGGGAGCAGTGTGAGGAGGAGAAGGTGGGACAGGATGAGGGGAAGGAGCGGGGGAGCTGTTTCACAACGTAGGGACGCAGAAGGTGCACGTAGAAGGTATTTTTGAGGCGCCTCAAAAATCGCAAGAAGCGGGAGAGCTGTTCCACAACGTAGGGACGCAGAAGGTGCACGTAGAAGGTATAGGGCACGTAGGAAAAATCTCACCTTAGGGTGCATGGCGCGGCACGAGCGGCACCAGGTCCCGAAAAAGTCAACCACCACGAGCTTATCCCCCGCTGCGCCTAGCGCCTCCACGAATTCCGCTGTGTTCGCCACGTGTCGCATGTTCGCGGGCACGCGCCGCTCCCACCAGTTTTCGCTGGAAGGAAGGGGAATCTGGTTTCCCGCGCCCACTCCTGCGCCGATTCCTACGCCAAGCCCCGGCATGGGTTGCGCAAGGGCGCTGCGGACGGTTATCGCCCCCCCGCGATTGCCTTGTAGCGAATCCGCGCTCCGCAGACTGCGCGGCGACGCGCGACGGGGGAGCGGTTGGGCGACGAGGCTAGACGAAAGCCCTCGCAGGCGTGACGAGGCGGAAGAAGCGGCGGAACGGGAAGGAGCAGCGGAGAAGGCGGAAGCTGAGGGCGCGGAAGACGCCTGCAGCGCGAGAGGCGGATGGATAGTCGCCATATTGAGCTGCTTTGAGTTGTTGGATTACGTTGGAGACGTGTCCGAGACTGGCAGTGGAAACTCGGGCAGACAAAAGGCCCGAGGATGAAGACGACGCTGACTGGCGGAGAGCTCACGCAGAAGGTGATCGTGACGGTACTTTACAGCGAAGTCCCAGCGAGGGTATTACGGATTCAACGCGCGTCGACGAATTTACATGTATTTGCTGGGGCTAGTGTCGCGTTGGATTGGATGCATGTGCCTCTGGGTCACCACTCCGCAACTAAGACTGCGGCCCTCAAGTGCTGTCGACAGCATGGGACAGAGAGACCCTACCAGAGGAGAGTGCATTTGAACAAGCGCGTTTTTTCTGAGATGGATTCTCGAGGGTGGCCCTGCCCACGAGAGTGTCACTCCTCTTGGGGAAGTGGCTGCGCCACTGGGATCTGCGCGCGGTCTACCCTATTCCCTCCAACACCCACCCACCGATTCAAACACATTGAAATCATCGATGACCACGACTCTGCAGGCACTCTGAGTGATTCATAGGCGGACAAAGGGATGTCGCGGAATCTTGTGGTGGAAAAGGGGGAAATGAGGAGGGGAAGGGAGAGTGTTGATTTCTTTGGAGATAGCGCGCCGATTCCAGGAGGGGAAACCAGATCTCCAATTCTGCGGTTGAGCGTGTGCGCAATCACTGGCTCAGGGTGGCCTTCAAGCGTGCCGCGGAGAGGAGGGCGCAAACAGCCTCTTGCCGAATGGCGTCGCGCGGTGGAGGCCAGTGATTGGCTCAGTCAATTTCAATCTTGCGAGCCACAGCAGCCCTAGATTGGTGCCTGTAATTCGCTGATGTGGCTGGGTGGCCGATTTTCAATGCAAGTGCATTCATACGGCATGTCTTGCCAGCTCCCCGTGCTGTGGCGAAACGTGCGGGGAGTGACGAGGCTGTAAAGGCCGCCTGCCCTGCTGGTGCCATGTCATATATACATCTTGATTCGTAAACTGCTATGACGCTATGAAGAACACCAAAACAGTTCCAGCTGTGTATAAAACATCCAATCACTTTTCATGACATCATCTGGTCCTGACATACATGCCACGAATATGAACATTGTCCCAGTGCAATCAATTATGTATGAGAATTTGATTTTATATCAGAATTACCGTGTTCCAACCAAACCCTTGGAAAGTTCACTTGTGGGTTTGCGCTTTGTATATGTATAAGCTTTATTATTGCTGCTTTACCACCACAAACACACACTCACTATCGAGGTATGTCGGCCCTTGCCTGTAATCCGCGCGTGCCGCGAGAGCACCCTACTGGCCTTCACACGTCCCTGGGTGTTCGCGCCACAAATTCTCCCAGCATCACGCGCGAAGTTCTCATAGAACCTCCTATTCGCACCCCCGCTTCGCGAGCCACGGTGTTATTTCGAAAGATGCTGGTTACTACCAATAAAAGTTGTGCCGAGGCATTTCCTAAGGCTGTGATCCTAAGCTAAGATGACCAAACTAGACGTGACCTAGCTGTGAGCGTGGCGTCAGTGCTTACCGAGCCAAGGGTTCAGGTACGAGCAGCCCATTTTGCTGGTCTTGGTAGTTGCGAGCGAGCCAGCCCTGGTTTGGCTCGGTCAGAGCCTCCGAGGCCTAGAAGTTGTCTTGCAGTACAGAGATCCCGAGGCAACTTGGCCCAACACCCGGCACTTTTTTCTCCTAAACTTGTGGCTTTTCACTAGATACCTGTCACAGACGCCTAAAACACCTTTACAGTGGTTAGTCCTATTGTACATCCCTCCTGGTGACTTCAGCAGCACGTTTGTTTTCAGCCATCATGGAAGACCGTAGTTAGTCAGTGAAGTCAAATTAGGTTATTCATGCTTGAGCGGGCTAGGAGTTACGGCTGATCAGAAAAGTTTACGACTTCCTATTGAGTTTCAACCCCACGGCACGTACCGCCATTTGACGTGCTCGTTACTGAGTAGGCTCTCCTATCGACGTTAAGGAACCAGATTAAACGTACGGTCAATTCAATATCCAATTTTACTTCGTTACTCCACTGCAACGCGATTAGATGTAGTTGTTTTGTCGGAAACAACAGCTAAGGATTATAGTCCCGTTTTCTCTACACAGCAGCAGAGAGGCTCAGGATTTTCGCCGACCAATAGGAACACGGTGCTGGCCATATTGTTTTACTGGACGTACGCCTGGCCGAGCAGCAGGCGTGACGTTTGTTATTTTATGCTGAACGACACAGCTGAAAGTTGATCTCTGAGCATATCCCGCGAGCCAAGCCGATCATTTGTCACGAAGTCTATTCTGATAACCAGCACCCGAAGATGCTGCTATCAGAGATGTCGCTTGTCTCAGCATCTAACGAGCTTGCCGGTTTGTCAACCAGAAGCGTTAAGAACCGTCCGATAGTCCCATTATGCAAGATTGTTTCATCATGAAAGCCGTCGTGGTGGCCGACACCCATAGACCACGTATCTAGAAGCTTATACCCTTTCCTCTCAAAAGCATAAATAGCGTAGCGACCAATTCATCATAATGAAGGCCATTGTGGTGGCCGGCACGCACAGCGGCGTGGGCAAGACGAGCGTCGCCGTGGGGCTCATGGCCGCCTTCCGCCGACGAGGTCTCCGCGTGCAGCCGTTCAAAGTCGGACCTGGTGCGAAACGATACAATACGATACCATACGTTACGATTCGATGCACTGCCGATCCACCAGGCTTTTTTCTTCTTCCCGTTTCCGACTCTGACTGAGGTTCCTGGATGGCTGATGCCGGCTTGGGACGTCTTCGGTCTGATATTTGAGCATGGCTGTGGCGCAGAGTTGTCAGCAATGGTATCTAGTCCCGATCCTTGTATCATATCCGAATGTCGCTGTCTGATATGACATGTCGTATGTGGTGTGTTCTACGTGGCATGTTGTCTGTGACATGTTGTATGTGGGATGTGGTACCATGCTTTATCTGGCATGGTGTGTATGACATTTCATTTGTGGATGTCCTGTGTGGTATGTTGTATGGGGAATGTCATACGTGGCATTTTGTATGTGGCATGCTCCATGTGACATGCTGCACGGGGCAACTTGGATGTGCCATGTCATGTGGGATGCGTGTGGCAGATTTTCTGGACCCCATGCACCATCAGGCGGCTACAGGCCGAGACTCGTACAACCTGGATGGGTGGATGCTCAACAGGTATGGTGCTGTTGAGGAGATGGGTGGGTGGGTGGATGGGTGGATCATGGGTGGGTGAGTGAGTAAGGTCGATGAACAGACGGGACTCATGCAACCTGGATGGGTGGGTGCTCAACAGGTATGGTCTTATTGAGGAGATGGGTGGATGGGTGGATGCTCAACAGGTAAAATGATATTGAGGAGATGGATGGATGGGTGGGTGAGTGGGTGGGTGAGTGTGTGGGTGAGTGTGTGGGTGAGTGAATGGGTGGGGTTGGATACATGGATGGATGGTTAGATGGTGGGGACATAGGTGGAGAGACGAGACTCGTGCAACCTGGATGGGTGGATGCTCAACATGTATGGCTTATCGAGGGAATGAGTGGATGGGTGTGATTGAGTGCATGGTTGAAGGGTGGGTGGTTGGGTGGGTGGCTGGGTGATGGTTGGGTGGACTGACGTACAAAGTGGATGGGTGTATTGTTGGGGGGACAGATGGGTGGGGGACGGATGGATGGCTGGTGGTTGGATGGGTGCATGGGTGAAAGGGTGGGTGGATCGATGGGTGGATGGGTGAATGAATGGATGGGTGCAGCAACGTTCCCTTGGTTCTTCTCAGTTTCCCCCCTTTCCCCCGCCGCCCCCCCAACCCCGATATCCACTTCTCTCCTCACCAGGGAGGCCAACGTGGCGTGTTTCACCAGCCTCAACAGACGTGGCAGTAGTGGAGGGCGTGATGGGGCTAATTGACAGCAGCAGCATCAGAATCGGGCCCTCCCCTTGTTCTCCCTGTCCCTTCCCTCACGTTCCCCTCTTCCCTCCTTACCCTCTCGCCCTCTCCCTTTTCTTGTATCCCGACCCGGCCCCGCACATCTCATCAGGGAGGCCAACGTGGCATGTTTCACACGTTTCGCAGCCTCAACTGACGTGGCAGTTGTGGAGGGCGTGATGGGGCTATTCGACGGTCGAGATGGCAAGACAGAGGTCGGCAGCACAGCAGAGATGGCCAAGATCATAGGGGCCCCTGTTGTCCTCGTTTTAGACTGTTGGTCTATGTCTAGAAGCGCGGCAGCCATGGTACATGGTTACGCGTCCTTCGACCCGTCGTTGCGATTCGCGGGGATTATTCTGAATAAGGTCGCCAGCGCAGCGCATGCCACGTGGCTGACTGAGGCGCTAGAATCAGCACACGTCAGAGTTCCCGTCCTAGGTGGCATCCCGAAATCTGCTGACGTGGAGATGCCAGAGCGCCACCTGGGATTGCACCGGCCTGGGGTGGACGCGGACGGGGTGCCAGCTCAGCACGCCGAGCGGCTGGCGACACTGATTGAAGCCCACGTGGACCTGGACAGGCTGTTGCAGCTGGCAGCTGACGTGGCAGGGGCGCCTACGATGGGGCTTGGGGGAGGGGAGGGGAGTGTGTGTGGAGGGGAGGATGTCGGAGAGGAGAGTGTGATGGGCGGAGGAGGGAGTGTGATGAGTGGGATGGGAGGAGCAGGAGGGATGGAGTGTGGTGGATCGTTGGCCAATGAGCTGCCTCCGTTGTCGATGCCGCCTGGAATGAAGCTTGCGCGCATTGGGGTGGCGAGAGACGAAGCATTTTGCTTCTACTACCATGACAACCTGTCGCTGCTGAGAGGTGAGACCTTGTATTGAGTATGAGCCAATGCCTCTCGGAATGAAGCTTGCTCGCATTGGGTTGGCGAGAGACGAAGCATTTGGCTTCTACTACCATGACAACCTGTCGCTGCTGAGAGGTGAGACCTTGTATTGAGTATGAGCCAATGCCTCTCGGAATGAAGCTTGCTCGCATTGGGTTGGCGGGAGACGAAGCCTTTTGTTTCTACTACCACGACAACCTGTCCGCTTTTGAGAGGTAACTAGGGCCTTGTGTTTAAGTATGCCCCACCCACTCCCTGACTAACTGGCTATACGTGAGTCACCTTAACAGCCTTCTGTTTTACTACCAACCACGATAATTTGTCGCGTCTGAGAGGTAAGTACGGCCCTGTGTTTCTACTACCACGATAACCTGCCCCTGCACACCACCTCGACTCGGTTTGCTTTGGAGCCAGCACCCTGAGCTGCACACTACTGCGCTGGTTGCTCTGGCTTGGCTCGCATATTTCCAATCACCCTTGTGCCATTTCCTGCCCCTCTGTTCACAACGCTGTCCCGTCCCACCCCACCAGAGGCCGGAGCAGAGATTGTGTTCTTCTCTCCGCTCACCTACCCCCTTCCACACCGCCTCGACACTATGTACTTTGGCCGCTCTAGCTGCTCTAGCAGCCAGAGAGGCGGGTATCCCCAGCTGCACGTGGCTGCCGTGGCTGCTCTGGCTTCTCTGGCTGCTTGGCGTCCATATTTCCAATCACCATTGTGCCATCTCCTTCCCCTCTGTTCACATTATTGCCTTTTGTTGCCCACCCTATCAGAGGCGGGAGCAGAGATTGTGTTCTTCTCCCCGCTCACTGACCCTCTGCCGCACCGTCTCGACGCCGTGTACTTTGGCGGGGGGTATCCTGAGGCTGCATGCTGCTGCTCTGGCGGCCAACACCAAGTTGGTGTATGCGCTCAGGGCGTTTGCTGCTGCTCTGGCCGCTCTGGCCTGGCTTGCATATTCCCGATTCACCCTTGTGCCATCTCCTGCCCCCCTGTTTTCAATGCTGTTTCGTCCCACCCCACCAGAGGCGGGAGCAGAGATTGTGTTTTTCTCCCCGCTCACTGACCCTCTGCCGCACCGTCTCGACGCCGTGTACTTTGGCGGGGGTATCCTGAGCTGCATTCTGCTGCTCTGGCGGCCAACACCAAGCTGGTGTATGCGCTCAGGGCGTTTGCTGCTGCTGGCGGGGGTGGTGTACGGCGAGTGTGGTGGGCTCATGTACCTGTCACGGAGCATCGAGGTGAGAGCAGGAGGTTGGGTAGTTGGTTCTGGGTTTGGAAGCTGGTGTATGCGCTCAGGGCGTTTGCTGCTGCTGGCGGGGTGGTGTACGGCGAGTGTGGTGGGCTCATGTACCTGTCACGGAGCATCGAGGTGAGAGCAGGGAGGTTGGGTAGTTGTTCTGGGTTTGGAAGCTGTGTATGCGCTCAGGGGCGTTTGCTGCTGCTGGCGGGGTTGTGTACGGCGAGTGTGGTGGGCTCATGTACTTGTCAAGGAGCATCAAGGTGAGCGTGAGGAAGGGAACTTGTAGTGCCCTGTTGCCCTTCCAAGTGGGGAATGAGTTTCCGTTGGCGGTGGGTGGTGTATGGCGAGTGTGGCAGGCTCATGTACGTCTCCAGGAGCATCGAGGTGGGAGAGGGGAGAGGGAGGTTGGTTGGATTATAGAGGATTTCATGTTTGGATCCTGGTTTCAGTGAGCGAGTTGTGTTGCACCGCTGCCCTTCCAACCAAGTTCCAACCATGTGTGACGTGTTTTCCTTTTCTCACTTGCTGCAGACGAAGGAGGGAGAGGTGCACGAGATGTGTGGGTTGCTTGCCCTTCCGCACTCGCATGGTGTCTACACTCAAGCTAGCCTACTGCACGGTGAGTTGTCTGTTTGTGAGATTTGACCATTGCACTTCGCACATATGTGAGATCGTGATTAGGGGGCAGTTCTTCCTTCTCAGCGAGATCGACTTTTGAGGCGCCTCAAAATTTGACGGTGCACATTGCACTGGATTAGGGGGGCAGTTCTTCCTTAGCGAGATTGTGCTGGATGCCTCTTCCTCCTTTCCCCAACACCTGTTTGTCTCGTGGGCCCCCCATCCCCCCTCTGTCACCGAGCGTGTTTTTTGAGCCTCTGTCACCGAGCGTGTTTTTTGAGAATTCTCAAAAAACCCCTCTGTCACCTCTCTTCTCTCTTCTCCCCACGTTCGCCCCAGCCCAATTGTGTGTTGTTCCCGGTCCGAGCTGGGCGAGATGAGGGGGCAGCTCTTCCACTTCAGCGAGGTCGTTTCCTTTACCCATCCTAACCCCTCTCTTTCCTCCCTTGCCTTGCTGCCCACCCTCTACTTGGTCTTCCCTCTTTGTTACCAGGTGCGTCCCCAGCCCAACTGTGTGCTGTTCCCAGCGTGAGTTGGGCGAGATGAGGGGGCAGTTCTTCCACTTCAGCGAGGTGGTTCTGGATGACGGCTCATTCCATGGCGACCAGCTGGAGTTTCGGGTAAGGAGGAGGGGGTTGAGGCAAACACACCGGGATGTCGTGTGGAGTGGAATCAGGTGAGCTGTTTCGGCATTGGCGAGCTGAGAAGGCAGTTGTTCCATTCCAGCGAGGTCGTGGTGGATGACGGCTCGTTGCACGGGGACCAGCTAGAGTTGGGTAAGGAAGGGGTCTAATTTGTTGCTGTACTGTATGGATAATAGCACTATGAGGTGAACTGGTTCGGTCCAGCATGGTGAGAGGTCGTGCTGGACAACGGCTTGTGCCACGGTGGCCAGCTCGAGTTTGGGTGAGAATGGGTTTGGTTTGGTGCTGTACGGTATGTATGATAGTATGAGATGAGCTGGTTTGGCTGCAGCCTGCGAGAGGTCGTGCTGGATGACGGCTCGTGCCACGGCGACCAGCTGGAGTTTGGGTGAGTGAGAAGGGGTCTGATCCGGTGCTGTACGGTATGTATGTGGTTAGGTTCGGTGCAGCGTGGCAAGAGGTGGTGAGTGCTGGATGACGACTCATTCCACGGCGAACAGCTGGATTGAGGGAGAGAATGGCTACTCAGAAGTGCCTTATGGTCAGAGAGTATATGGTTTGGGTGCTTCTATCTTCCCTTCCCCCCTGCTCTCCTATCGCCCCTGCTCTCCTCTCCCTCCTTCCCCGTCCCTCCCCAGGTACCTTATCGAGCAGCAGACCCCCGGATCTACTGCTCGTCCAGAGGGCTACATGGCGAGGGCAGTGCTAGCGTCATTCGTGCATCTGCACTTCGCCTCCAACCCCTCCCTCCCATCCCTCCCTCCCCACCCTCCCCCCTGCCTGTCGTGGACCTCCCCAGGTACCTTATCGAGCAGCAAACTCCAGGTGCCACCTCCCGTCCAGAGGGCTACATGGTGGGGGCAGTGCTAGCGTCCTACGTGCATCTGCACTTCGCCTCCAACCCCTCCCTCGCCCACGCCTTCATAGACGCGTGCCGAACCGACCCTACCAAATCCGCAGCTGTCGCTGCTGCCTCTGCCTCAGCAGTGGCTGGAGCTGGGGCGGCAGCGGCGGCAGCAGCAGGGGCGGCAGCTGCGGCGGCGGTGGCAGATGCGTTGAATGAAGACGACAGGTTGTCGCAACGATCGGTCTCGTATAATTTGTACGCGTCCCCGGTGCACCCGAGTCAGCTGGGCTTGCATCAGCAGCAACAGCAGCAGCAGCAGCACGGGGTTTCCGGAGGTTGTGCACCCTCTTCCGTGTCTTCTGTGCAGTCTGGGAGCTCGTTTCGTAGGAGGAGTGAGAGCGGAGGGAGGTGGGATGCGAGGGGGTTTGATGCTGGTGGCGGGGTGTCGCCACCTCATTATTTGGAGACGTATGGGAGGGGAGGAGGAGGGGGAGGAGGAGGGGGCGGGAGAGGGGGGATTGGTGGGTCAGGTGGAATGTATTATGGAGGGGGGGTTTCGCCTCCTCATTATATGGAATCATATGGGCGAGGAAGAGGGGGAGGAGGAGGGGGAGGGGGAGAGGCAGGGGCAGGATATGGGGGTATTGGAGGACGAGTGTATGATGCCAGGGGGCAGTGGCATGAGGATATTATCCCCAGAGCTTTATCAGGTACTGTTCCTGGTTCTTCAGGTGCTTATTCAGGTGGTTTCTCAGGTGGCCCGTCAGGTATTTCGCCTGAGCACGACGACCCCACCGAGGCTGACCTCCAGGCTCGGCGGATGGGCGCTCGCGAGGCAGAGGATCGGTCCTCACGTTCGGAATCGTATGTGATTGGAGAGCGCGTGGGCGGCAGCGTCGTCCCATATGCCATGTTTCCGGGTGGCAGCGCCATTGGCAGCGCTGTGGCGAGATCATACGGCGGGCAATCAAATCATGCAGGATATGGATATGGGGCGGGAACGGGCGGCGGAAGTGGGGGAAGAACGGGCGGCGGAGGAGAGAGGGGGGGGCGGGGAGGAGTTGACTGGGCTAGATACGAGCTCTCACCACCCCTCCCTTACCAATCCACAGGTTACAGCAGGGAGGGGAATGGCAGTCAGGGGGTGGGAGGGCCCGGGTTTATCCCCTCTCCCATGCGGAGGTCTATTTCTGAATTGTGGGTGTCCGGGGGTGGGGGTGGTGGGCTGGATGAGTTGAGTCTGGGCGGAGTGCAAGGGGCGACTGGGCAAGGGGGAAGAGGAGGAGGGGGGGGGGGAGGCGGAGGAGGGGGAGTAAGAGGAGGAGGAGGAGTGAGAGGAGGCGGAGGAGGGGGAGAGGTTGGAGGCGGTGGGTATGGGGGGACAGGAAGGAGAGATGGAAGGGGGAAAGTCTTGGGAGGAGGGGCAGGAGGAGCAGGGGGGGAGGGAGGAGGGGAAGGAGTGGGAGGAGGGAGAGGTGGAGCAGTAGGGTCTAGTAACAGAGGCGGTGGGGGTGGTTCAGTGGCCGGGAGATCAGGAAGTGGAGGAGGAAGTGGTGGTGGTGCTAGCTCAACCTCAGATCCCTCTGCATACCTCTCCACCGCTGCAAACCCCTCTTCAGCAGGTGCCTCTGCAACAGACGGTCGCAGCTATGCGGATTCGGGTTCTGCTTCGGATTATGATGAGATGAATGCGAGTGACTTACGAAGCTCTTCTGAGTTTGATGAGGGGCTGACGTCTAGTGGCCGGCTGTCGGATTTTGTGGGGAGCAACAGCGGGAGGAGCGTGGAGCAAATTTATGAGTCGGGAGGAGGGGGTGGTGGAGGAGGGGTGAAGGGGCCTTCTAGTGGGAAATTGGCGGATTTTGTGAGTGCAGGGGTCGGGGTTTTGGAGAAGGAGGAGGAGGAGGGGGTGGAGGTGGAGGAGGAGGGGGAGGAGGACGGGGAGGAGGATCAGCTGGTGGGTCTCTCAAGAATTTATCAGCTGGATCAATGAGGAAGCTTGCTGCTGCTGCTGGGGCTGCTGCCCAGGCAGAGGCGACTGGGCATGCCAAAAGTGGAAATGCTGCCACAAGTGGAAGTGTTGCTAAAAATGGAAATGGTGCGAAAAGTGGGAGTGGAAGCTGGAGTGGTTCGGGCCGTGTGAGGTGGGAGGGAGAGAAGGGTGAGGAGAGAGGGCAGATGGAGAACGGGAGGTGGAGGGATGCCGGGGGGGGTGGTTCGAGGTATTTCGAAGCAAGAGATACAGTTGAGGGGTTTCAAGAGGTAGGAACGGAGGAGAGAAGGGAGGTGAGTTGGGAGGAAGAAGAGGAGGAAGAGGAAGAGGAGGATGAAGTTGGGACTGGGCAGGAAGAGAGAGAAGCGCCTAGAACAATGCGTCTGGACCCTCGCTTGGTTGAGGAGGTGAGGGAGAGAGAGATGGAGAGACAAAAGGAGAGGCAGAGGCAGGAGGGAATGGTGGGGAACGAGCAGAAAGGGCAGAATGGGAGCGGGTGCAGCAGTTAGGGGAGGATGGGCAGACGGGGAGGTATACCCATGAGGATCAAATGCAGCAGCAGCAGCAGCAAAAGCATCTGCAGAAACAGCAGCAGCAGCAGCAGCAGCAGCAGGAGAAGCAGCATGTTCGGAAGCACTCAGATGCAAACGAAGCTTCTAGCGCTACAGATGGGAGCGGCACGAGGAATGGCAGCGGCAGCAGAAGTAATGGCAGTGGTGACGGGTTCCGTTCCCTGCCCACCCAGCTGTACCGCACTCTGCTCCGCGACACCCATCTGCACCACTCTCATCTCCATGACGCCCAGGTCCAGAGGAGCTTTACTGGGGCCTCAGCATCTGAACGTGGTGGTGGTGGTGCTGCTGCTGCTGCTGCTGCTGCTGGTGCTTCTGTTACTAGTGCCGGTAGTGGCGGTGCTTCTGGTGGTGCAGCTGGTAGCAGCATAACAGTGAGCAGAAGCGCGAGTGGGAGGCTCTATACTGAGAATGAGATGTCCTATAAAACATCTCAGAAGGTTTATATCGAGGATGAGGTTTCCAGTCATTCACGAGCAGTCATGATAGCAGGAGGGGCAGCAGGAACAGTGGCAGATAGGGCAGCAGGAGGGGCAGAAGGAGCAGGAGAAGGAGCCAGGGCAGGGGCAGGGGCAGAGGCAGTGTTAGGGGCAGGAACAGGAGAGCAGCAGCAGCAGGGGAATGGGGGAAGGGGCAGTGGGGAGAGGGGGAATGAGGTCCGCTGATGGGACTCCAACTAAGACTGCTAGTGCGCCACTCCTTACAGGCCTGCATGTTACAAGCACTCCTGCTGCTGCTGCTGCTGCTGCTGCTGCCGCTGGTGGTGGTGCTGGTAGCAGGGGGGGAATGGTAGAGAGCGAATTCAGTGGAAGGGTGGCGCTGTCAGCACATGGGAGTTATGGGCACATGTCTGGGCTTGCCTCTCAGGCTGCAGTGTCTGCCCATACCACTCACACCACCCATGCCACTGCCACACACCCCGGGCATTCTTCCCTGAACCCTCACACCCCATCCCATCCTCACACCCCATCCATCCTCACTCCTCCATGCACCCCGCTCCTCCTCAGCATCCCCATCCCTCTCACTATCCGCCCCAACACCCCCCTCCCCATCATCCTCAGCATCAGCAGCAGCTGCATCATCATGACCATCATAATCAGCAACAGCAGCAGCAGTACCAGCAGCAGCAGCATTATCCTCTGTATACTCTCAACCCATCCCCCCTCTCAGCACCCCCTCACCCGACCCTCCCCTCTCAGCAGCTCTTACCGGGACTCACCCCATCCTCTTCCTACTTCTTCAGATTCACCCCAGTTCAAAACTCCTCCCGAACCTGCCTCCAAGGCAGCAGCCGAAGCTGCGGCCGAAGCTGCAGGTCGGTCTGCTCAAGCTTTCCAGGCTGCCCGTTTGGGACCAGAAGCAGAGCCTGAGAGTGACGCTTTCTTTGATTCCTGCCCGAACTTCGAGTCCCCAAAATTGAAATTTCACACGCCCCCATCTGACGTGAATGCACCTCTCCTCAATTCAGATTCCCTCACTCTCTCAGACCCTCACACTCTTCCCACTCCCCCCACACACTCTCATTCCCACACCCCCCCTGCCCCCAACGCTCACTCTGGCCTGCATTCCTTCTCAGAATCTCACAGTTTCTCTCATTTCCACACTCACTCTGACCCTCACACCACTTACCCTCACGCTCACCTTCACGTTTTCTCAGATCCCCACACTCACTTCTCCCTTTCTAAAGACTTCTCGTTTGGTACGAGAAGGAGGTTGGATCTGGGTAAAGCTAACGAGGGGGGGAGATTGGAAGAAGGGTTTGGGGGAGGGGAAAGCAGGGGAATGATAGGGGATGAGGGGCCGCAGGGGGGATGCAGCAGAGAGAGCAGCAGCGCGGCAGAGGCTGGGAGACGGACAGGTGCAGGGGCAGGGGCACGGGCACGGGCACGGGCACGGGCACGGGCACGGGCACGGGCAGGGCAGGGGCAGGTGCAGGGGCAGGGGCAGGGGCAGGGGCAGAAGGGCAGGATCAGCGGCAGTGGCAGCAGCAGCAGCCGCAGCAGCAGCCGCAGCAGCAGCCGCAGCAGCAGCCGCAGCAGCAGCCGCAGCAGCAGCCGCAGCAGCAGCCGCAGCAGCAGCCGCAGCAGCAGCCGCAGCAG